TTTTTTAAACACAAGCCCTCACAGTGCTAGTGATGCTGGTAAGAGCAGTCACCACTAGCACCCAGAGGGGAGGCTCCATCTATTGGTGGGGAGCGTCACCTGCTGGAAAACAGGTCCAGCGTCCCTTGTACAGAGTGATGAATGTGAACATAAGGAAAAAGAACACCTGCCAGCATTGATGACTCTGGAGTCCAGAGGATTGGCGCGCCAAGTCCTGCCGAACCGCCGTCGCAATTTTCTTTTTCTTTTTGCCTGCGGCCTCCAGCCAATGCGGTCCGGCAGGCCGAAGCCCAAATGGTGCGGCACATATACGGGAAGCGCCGCTGCCGATAGCTGGGCCAGGTACTGGTGGTTTAAGTAGGTTTTTCCGCATATGAAGTTCACAAAAAAACAAAACCGAAAAAAAAAACAGGTCCGCTAAGACTGCAGAATGGTCTGAAGTTATAAAAGGAAAAAAGAAAAGAAAAAGGTTCTGTGAAGACAACCTGACTGCTGTAGGCTGTAGTAACCCAGAGGGTTGATTTAATAGGCTTGGGGCAACTGGCCTAGACACCCTGGGGGTGTATTAAATTCCATAATAACAGCCCACTGGCAGCAGGCAGGCAGTCATATTATAGTGAATCAATGGTGCTGTCAAAAAAAAAGAAAAAAGAGAAAGAAAAGCGGTTATGGGGCATCTGAGAACAAAACGCTGGACCAATGAAATGGATCTGGAAGTAGAATTGGAGGAGGAAAAACTGGTCTGATGCCCGAATACATCCATACAACCACCAGCAAGTTTCCCAGCCATTTTTCTCCGACGCGGCAGTGCTTGCGCCACGTCTGCGCCACGTCTGGTGGGCGTTCGCAAAAATGAACACGTTGCCTACACGACCATTTTCGCCTGGATGTATTTTTTGTGAAGCGGTAGACCAGCACATCCCGCCAGACGTGGTGCGCGCACCGCTGCTGCGTCATACAAAAATGGCTGGGAGTACTGGTGCGTCTGATCCCTTTTTTTTTTTTTTTCACAGGGACCCACACTGGTAAGTAAAAAGTAGTGTTTTTGCGGATCCCACGCATTTCTGCACATGTAGGGGGGGCCGCCAGCGGCGGAGGGAAGTGAAAAGGTTTGCTGCTGTGGCGTAGTGGGAGAGATCGACGGCGAAAGAATTTGAGGCATTTCTTAAAAGTCCTTGACCCGGTAAAAAAAAAAAAAAAAAAAGGTGGCGGGTTTTATGCTTTTTTTTTTTTTTAACAACCACACAAGATACCTTTCCCTGTTCTATAGCAACATTCATCATTGTCCTATTCCATTGTCCCAAAACTCCCACCGCTGCAATCGTAGAAGTTCCTGTAGTCGCGGAATAGTAGGGTCTCATTTCTCTCTTACGGCCCGTCCGATGCGCTTATTTCTTTGCTTCTGATCAGACAGTGCGTAAAGTGGACAATTTTGTTGAGAAATGCGGATCCCACAACTTTCCGATGTAGGAGGGTGCGGCGCTTTGTTAGGGGTACGTTTTCGGGTTTTGTGTACGTGGCGCGTAGTCCGTGATGGACGGCCCAACGGCGCTACACAAAATGGAAAGCTCGAGGACCCCTACCCCTACGGAAAAAGCTGCCGCGAAAATGAGTCGGCCTTTTCGATGTCCACCCGTGGTCGCGTGGTCGGTCGGTGGAGCAGAGGACCATGCGACGTGTGAGGGCTGCTTTCCCGGTAGTGCGACATTATGGGGCCCGCCGTTGTTCCGTGGTCGCTCAAGGCATTTTGTGGAAGTTCCCGTTGGGTAGCGAAAGGAGCCGTTTTTTGAAGTGCCGCGTGCGCGCTTCGTCGTTTTCGAATATTTTAAAACGAGGCGCGCGTGGTAGCACGTGTACAGCAGTCCTTTCCTGGCCGTTGGCAGAGTCTACGGAATTGCTTCCATAGCCGGCGTGCGCAAGCAAGGCAGCAGTTTCACAGTTCTGGTCGTCGTGCGCGGCAAGCAGGTATGGAGCAGAACCACAACCCGAGTCTGTCTGCGTCGGCCTTGTCATCCCGCATGGAATCTGCGAGTGGAGATGTGCCACCATTGATCTCGGCAGCTGGAGCATCGTCAGGGGGGCGCAGCGCGGCTCCGCGGGTCCCTTCTATGCCCGGTGGTCTCCCCCCTTTGCCCACTTTCAAGGCGCTTCTGCAGTGGGACCGTCGAAATGTGTTCTCGCCGCCAAGGTCGGACACATCCATAAGCATGCCTCCGCAATGTGCTGAGGAGTCCTTCTCCTCCCTCATGGGCCAGGCTGCAGGCGGCCAACCACAATCACCGTTTCAGAGTGGTTTTCCTGGGTCGATGGGGTGGGGCATGCCTCATGAGCACGCAGGTGTTCCACGTATGCAGCGGTTGAGGTCCTTCGACGACTCGGTTACAGGTGGGAGAGTCCATATGGGCGTGGCTGGCGAAGACGGTAGAGCGGCGATGCAGACTTCCAACATGGAAGTCGGCCTTCACGGCCAGGCAGAGATGCAAAGAGGGGCCTTTGGCGGGGGAGGTCACCTCCCCACTGCCCCATCACCCGATCGAATGGATTTCGCACCGCAGGCAATGGAAGATGGGGACAGTCGGCGGCCCTCCCCCAACGCAGGAGCGCAAGACGCGTGCAATGGTCCTGTGGAGGACATTGCCGGGATGCAGGCAGCGAAGGGGATGGCGACTGCAGGTGTGGGAGAGACAGGGGAAGGCAGTAAGAACACGACAACGATGAGCAATGTCAGTGGGGTTGGAGAGTCTGCCGCAAAAGGAAAGAGCCGGGGCAATAATTGCAGGTTGGATGAAACGTTGGCGCTGCCACGATACCTCGAGGAAGAGGACGCTATGCACGTTAACAGACCAAGGAGGCAGCAGATGAAGGGGAAGAAAGAGAGGTATGCGTGGGTGGTGTCGAAGATGGTGCAACAAGGCTTGGCGAAAATACTGGTGGGGGAGTGCGAGAGAAAGTTCTACTCTCTCGTGGACCACGCGAAGAAAATCAGGGACTTCCATAATCGGTCCGACGAGCGAATCTACTGAAAGCAGGTCGGCTTGCCCCTGCATTATGAGCGGCAATGCCGGGAGGCTATCGAGTGGAAGTTGGGGAAGTCTTCCGGGTCTTGCGACCGGGTGGTGAACTCCGTTGATGTTCTTGGAGGTGCCACCAGTGCTGTCACATCAGATGACGAAGGGGGGGGGGCTAGCGAGGGGACTGTTCCACGCAGGCGAGCGGAGAGTGACATGCCGGAGGGGTCGAAGTACCAGCGCACCTTAGGAGGAGGGCGACGCAGCAGGTCGGACTCCCTGGCTGCAGGTGGGAGAGACGAAACCATGTCGGACATCACGACAACTTCGGCGAATTCGAACAAACAAAATGCTTAAATGCTGGCGATCTTAGTTGGTTGTTGGATAACACAGGAAGTGACGCCCTTCGAAGTCAATATGTACCGGCTCGGGAGACGAGCAGTACTGTGGGCATTATGGTGGCAGCGGTGCCTCTTGGCCATGGAAAAAGTATGTGTGGAGAGTGCGGAGATTGCTGAGCAGATCAAGTAGCAGATCCAGCTGGAGCTGACGCGTAGATGGTGCTCGGTAAAAGTCCAATTGAATCTCTACCAGCAAGCAAAAGATGTGAAGAAAGCAATCACAAACTTTTGCAACGAATGGCTGGGGGGGAACAAAGAGGGGTGGATAACTAAAGTAGAATAGAGTGGAGATAAGACACAGGACGATCAAGACTTGGACGGCATAAGGGACTACCGTTTACTGTTCAAGGACTGGACTACCATTGAACCCTCTTTTCCACTCCGCCCTGCCACAGACTTTCCTGATCCCTTTCCTCCCCATGCCCTTTCCTTGGCAGAAATTCAGAGTTGAAAAATCCCGGACCCAGGCCCCGGTGCCCCCCGAGGTGGGCCGGGCCAGAGCAAAGGAGCACAGGATCCTGGTTGAGATGGAACAACAGAAGGCTACAGATGACCACAGGAGTCGACAACCTCAACTACAAGAAACAGCTGGTATTACGCCTACACAGTTAATCTAAGAGCAATCAATGCTGGCAGGCAACAGTCCTCTCATACATTGCAGCCACAACCTCAAAAAACAGATTGGGCAAAAAGGGGGAAGGAGGAACCAGTTTTTCAGTTGTAGATATCTGGCGCCCGATACAGGGTGAAGAGGACATGGTGAAGCTGATCTGAGCAACATATACAAAGGATCTTTCGAGATCTAACACGCATCTGATCTACTACAAGTTTGAAGGGAAGAAATATGAACTGGCGAGAGGTTTGCATCTACCCATTGTGAATCACTTGTGGCGGATAGACAGTTTGATCTGTGTAACCGTTTGAACGCTGTGAACGAGCGTTCGCGTTCAAATGTACGTTTGAACGCGGATTTAAATTCGCGTTCAAAATTGAACGGCGTTCAATTATTTCTTTATTTTTTAATATTTTTTTAAAATCATTTCAATGCCTAAAAATAACTTTTTTTTCTGATTTTTTTTTTACGAGTTCTGTATGCTGTGAGGTACATGCCTCTCAATTTTGGAGTCATTTTGCTAAGGCAAAAAAAAATGAAAAACCGCCAAAGATGGCGGTGTCAAATTGTGTTCGCTCACTACTGTGTCGTCCCCCGTACGTCGTACGGGGGTTCTCCGTACGGCTCGGACGTACGGACGTACGGACGCCCGTACGACCGTACGGACGACGGCCGTACGAGGGTGATTTGGGGCCCAACCCCCCCCCCAAAAAAATATATATATATATGGGGTTGTAGATCTTGAAAAGATCTGCAACCTCTTTTTTTTTTTTTTTTTTAACCTTTA